AAAAACGCATTGTAAACGTTGTTGGACCTGGACTATCTGCTAAGCTTGAGCCTCTTTTTGTCGTCTCAAAGTTGCATCCCTTTCTCTTTTCTACAAATACAATCATGGTCACTGCTCAAAGGAGCTTTCATCTCTAGTTCCATCAACTAAAATTTATTCTCGTTTTACTCGTCATTCAGCTAAGTCTCATTCGTTTACTGTATCTGTCCCTGCATACTCTAAAAACTTTTATTCATCTAGTTTTTTTCCCCACACTTCAATCCTTTGGAACTCTCTCCCATCTTGATGTTTTCCTGACTCAAACAACCTTCAACTTTTCAAGTCTTCTGTCAACGGTTTCCTTGCTCTATAACTCTGTTCTTTTTTTTCCAGGTAACTCCCAACTTTATAGTGGTTGCTTGCAGCCTTAATGGGAGTGATTGGAAATAAAAAAAATAAAAACTTAATAGTGGTTGCTTCTAGCCTTGTTGGGAGTGATTGCAAATAAAAAAAAAAGGGTAATCAAACAGATAGTAAGTTTATATATTTTTTCATATTAATACTATTGTTTATTACTTTTACAAGTATCTTTTTGTTAAACTTTTAAAAATCATTGACTAGATAAAACCTATTCAATACTTTTTTTTAAGTAACCCCTAATTTTCTTTATTTACGCCTTTATTTTATTTGTTATTTACACAGTACTTTTCTTTGCTCTTTACAAAATTGTTTTATTGGATTTGTTGCCAAAAAATGTGTATTTTTTTAAATATATTACACCTTTTTTAACTTTAGCTTCATCGTCATCTGATGCAGTTGGTAAGTTAAATAAGTATTCTTTTATTAGGTGTTTCTACTTATTCTTTAAAGCTAAACTATAAGTTTAATACCTTTTTTATTTTATTTGAAGACACCTTATTTTTCTTTTAGTTTTATCAACATGTGCTAGTGGCAAATTTTTTCAGATCTGTATAGAGTTAATGTCGAAATAAAAGTTAATTTGGTTAATTTTTTTATCTTTAGCTTTGTCACCATCTGCTATGATTGGTATGTTAAAAAACTATTTCTTTGTTAGAAGTGCATAGTCTATCTTATTAAAACTAAACTATAGATTTAATCCCAATTTCATTTTATTTTTGTTGTTTACATCATTTTTTAACTTTAAGTTCCTACAGCACAATCTTCTGCAGGTTAATGTATAAATTGAAATATTTCTTTATGATTGTTCTTCGTTTTAAAACTTTAATGCTTATTTATATTTTATAAAAGTATTTTATTTTAAATAAGCAAATTCTAAATAAAAGTTTTTAATTTTCGTTTTGTAAGCGTTTATATAAAATGTTTCATAATGCTTTGAAATCTTAACTATCAGTGAAAAGATTAATTTATACAAACACTTATCTGCAAAACAACTTGAAGATTTAGATGATGTGATGTCTGAATGAATTGTTGGCAGAAAACTCTGTCATGAATGGTATGATTCTGACTTATCAAATCTATCATTTATGATGTCATGTCTATCATTTTATGTCATATCATGTCATGTCATCATTTTATGTCATATTATTTTAACATCATATCATGTATATCATTTTATTTATCATATTATGATGTCATGTCTATCATGTTATGATATCAAGTCTATCATTTATGATGGTTGATTAGAAAAAGTCTATTATTTTATGTCATACCATTTTTCGGTATTTTTTGGTAACATTTGGTATGTTAATCTTTTATGATTTATCTATTGTATAATACTCTTTTCTACTGTTTTTTGGTTATTGTTTATATGATTGCACAAACATTTCTAATGTTTCCTTCTTGTTTAGATGCAGGTTTACTATTACATCAGTTTTTGAGATTCCGTAAGTGATATATGATAGTGATGTATAGTAATATGATAGTAGTGTATAGTGTATGGATATGATATATAGTAGTGATGTATAAGTGTATAGATATGATAGTGATGTATAGGTGTATAGATATCATAGTGATGTATAGGTGTGTAGATATGATAGTAATGTATAGATGTATCGATATGATAGTGATGTATAGATGTATAGATATGATAAATAATAGTGACATATAGAGATGACATGAACAATATAATCTTTAATGTTATTCATAATAAAATAAACATTTTGATGCCTTAAAAGTATTTTAATACAAAAGATATCTTTTTTATAATCTTTCTTTTATTGTTTAAATCATTATACAACCTTTCTTAATGTTTACTTGTGTAATTATGTTTTCATTATACACTTTATCAATAAATTTGTTGCACATTATGCAGAACTTGTTTGATTGTTGTTACTTATTCACTTACTGTTGTCAAATTTATGGTGTTTTTTTAATTTTGATATTCAGTTTACTTGTTAATTTTAGTCCAATCAACTCAGCCTTCCACTAGTAAGTTTGTATATTGCAATTTCGGTCATGTTTATATAAGTAGAAATTTAAAGATATATGCTTTGGTTTAATTCATATGTTTTTTATCTCAAGTCATTTCTTAAACAACTGTGATTAGTAAATTTAAAAGCTATTATTTTTTATCTTGTGAAAGATTTATTGCCAATATCTTTTTTTTTTGTAGATAACATCCATTTTGTTTTTAGTCCCATCTACATCTGAAACAGTTGGTAAGTTTAAGAGTCAATTTTTTTTCAGCAGTGTATTGATTTAATCCCAATTTCAACTTTTTTTGTTTATTTTTATATTGCATCTTTTTGTGATGTTAGTTGCACCTACATCCTTCTTTTTTGCTATTAATTACACCTTTTTTACATTAAGCTTTATCAACACCTGCTGTTGATGGCGATATCATTTCTTTTGTTATGGCTATACTATAGATTTAACATCAAACTCAATTTTCTTTTTGATTACAGCTTTTTTTTAATTTTAGTTTCATCAACATCTACCACATTTAAAAAGTTTAAAAGCTATTTCTTCGTTCACTTTGTATGTAATATGTGTATGTAATTTATTTATGTGTATGTAAGGTCAAATTAGATGATATGATGTCTGAAAGAATTTTTGGCAGAAAACTCTGTCATGAATTGTATTGTTACGTATCTCCAAATGTTAACGTATGGTCCTTTAGTTACTACGCTTTAGATAATACGCATGAATAAATGTTATCTTGCAAAACAGCATCATTAAATTTATTTAAAACAGCATCATTGCACAACAAGCTCATCGTTTGTTTCAAACAGCATTATAAAAGTTCATTGTAATTATTGTATATTTTTTTTTGCTAAACAGCATTGTTGCAAACAGCAACACAGCGCAAGAAGAATAGAAAAATTGCGTTTTTCGGGGAACTCGTGGTGGTTGGAGGCGTCTTACATCTCCATCCAGGAATTATACAAGATTTAATTCCTGCCATTACCGTTCACCGGTATTCCTTTTACTCCCTATGAACTACCTTACAAGCTGAGCAAATACGTGGGTGACGTCCTTTTACTCTAGGAGACACTGTCGTGGACTGATCCTGGCGTGGCTGTACTACAGTTTCATTATCCAATGGTATTTGAAAACATCTTAAGCAAGGCAGGGAATAATTTAAATTAGGCTTGTTCAAGATTAAATATATTACTATTAAAAGTATTGCTGCCCACAGAATGGATCCGCTTATACCACCAAGGAATTTCTGAAAGAAGGATCCTGCACCTTCTCCAACACTTTCACAGCCCCACCGGCGGCTGTTAACACCGATGAGGAAGCGTCTCCAATTGACCGGACTAGCTTATCATCTAAGTCCGAAACTCCATTCAATGAATCCTTTATAGCACCCCCAAAGACTTTAATGATCTGGCTTCTTCCACTTGCGGTGGCTTGTATGACACTTCCTAAAGCTGTGCCAATTCCAGTTAATACATCACTACCGTTGGTGTCACTAATAGTTTTAAGTCACTGCAGTGTTTCATGTGACCCTGAGATTAATTGTAAGACTGTGTACGGTGATAATCGTTGAGGTTTCTCGACAAGAAAATCTTTGTTGTATCCTCGAATACGGGGAATCGGGTTGTTTGCTGATGTATTAGGAAACTGGGCAACTATCCATCGATGTATGCAAGAGATCTCCGTTTGGATAAAATACATCTGTTACCAAGTACTTATCATATTCATCTTTTGAGTCATGAGGGCTATCGTAATGTGGGCTTCGAGAATTGCTGTAGCTGGATCATTTGCTAATTTTTGTGAGTAATTTGCAGCGGTTGATTTATGTTGTTTAAAGACATCATCTGGGAACTTGGGGTCTTTTAGAAGCATGCCGTTATCCAGGGTAAGCATGTAGTCTTTTTGCTCTGCTAGCTGTATAGCTCCACCTACCTTGAAACTCCTGATTAGAATGAAATCACCTATACGTTCAATTGGATAAGTACCTAATTTCTTCATGACTTCTTTATCGTGGTTGTCATTTCCCCATATAATTATAGATTCTGGCCATTCACTGGGAACGCAACAACGCAGGGCATGATGGCATAAAGTCTTAGTGACGTATTGTTCTAGGGTTACCGCTCGTACGGTGATTTGTCCGTTATATGTCTTCATGAAAAAATGGGTATACTCCTGCGTTTTTGTGCGCATCCAGGCACTATGAAATTGATCTGTCGCTACCGTTCTCCATGTATTGAGGTTATTCACTTAAAAAGCTCCGTAAGGCGATATTTTAGTATTCATGGCTAAAAGACATTCTCCTGCTGTTACGGATATTCGTTTGGATGTTAGGTCTTTAGATTTTTTGTTGAGAAAATTTGACTGGCAAGTAAGTGTGACTTTTTCGGCATAACAATGAAATAAATTTATTGTGGTTGTCTGAGGTCTATAAGCATAGACATCTGCCATAAACGTTTTCATCAAGTCATTTAGCGTATGCATATTGTGATTACAAGACGTAACTTCTGGTAATTGGTAAATTCCAATAGGTTTCACTTTAGTGCAGTCAAATACTTCGCTAATAAATAAGCCAGTAATGAAAGTTGGTAAAAGAGCCAGACACCATAATTTCCACAATTTGTTTACTCTCGGGTTACTTTCGGCATGACCCTACAATTAGTTTGATTTTTCTTCTTACGTATGCACAGATTTGTCGTGGTTATAGCTGAGATATGCACACTTTTGCTAGTCTTTTTACTATTAATATACTTCTGGATGACTTGAGGATCGAAAATGTTCTCTTCGGGCTCCCAAGTATTTTGGCTGGATGGATAACCTTCCCATTTAATTAGATATTGTATTTTTCCTCCTCTTGTTCTTTTTTTAATAATTTTCTCCGTTTTATATATATCGGAATCAAGATTCTCCATTCTGTCAACTTGATGTTCAGTTTCAGGGGCGAGATTAACTTCTTTCTGTATTTTATGGTTAGTTTCCTCAAAACAGAATTCGTCTAGCGTTTCTGTGGCTTCAGTGAGAACTTCAGTGTTTAGAGCTAGGTCTGTAGTTGGTTTTTCTTCATAACCAAACCATTGTTTAAAACGAGACACATGAATTTGCGTAGGCATTTCTTTATTATTCATATTTTCCAATTTGAACGTCACGGGTGATGTTTTTTCAATTCAACGAAACGGACCGTGCCAGAAACTTGTAAGTTTTTTTGTTAAACCCTTTTTTGTGATTGGTGTATATACCCATACTTTATGTCCGACCTGAAACGGGTATGATTTTGTTGTTTGATTGTAATGTAGTTTCATTTTTGTCTGTGCTTTTTGAATATTTTCTTTCGCGAGGTTACGTAATAATCTTAAGTCAGACACAAATCGTTGAATAAGTAAGTCAGTATTGTCTGTTGGGTCCTTTCTTGGTAGTAGGGTAGTATCATGGGGTAGTAGAGCGTCTCTGCCATATGTTAACCTAAAAGGAGTTTCTCCAGTACTAGCAGATATACTGGTATTATATGCATATACAGCAGCTGGAAGATGGACATCCCAATCTCGTTGGTTAGAGGCAACATACATGAAAAGACTTTGAGCCAAAATCCCATTAATGCGTTCCACAAAACCGTCAGTTTGGGGGTGATAAGCGGTTGTAAAAGACTTCTTTACATTTAATATTTCGCATACTTTTTTCACAAGTTTGCTCGTAAAATTACTACATCTCTCGGTTAGAAATCGCCTTGGTGCTCCATGCTTGAACACAATGTTGTCTACCAATATCTCTACAACAGACAATGCTGCAATGGTGGGGAACGCAAAAGCCTCCACATACTTTGTAAATAAGCAACCAAACACAACTATATAGCGGTTTCCTTTTAAAGAAGGAGGTAAAGCTCCCAAACAATCGGCTGCAATGACGTCCCATGGTCCTTCGACAGGAATTGGTAGTAGAGGTGCTTTGCTAGTAGTCGGATTTCGTTTTCGTTGAGCGCAAGTGGTACATGACTTTACCCAGGTTTGTATGTTGTTATACATACCAATCCAATAGTAATTAGTCCTAATTTTCTCATAGGTTTTTGTCACCACGAAGTGTCCTCCACATGGTTCGTCATGGGCGAAGGTTAATAACTTATTTCTTTAAGATTGTGGTGTAACTAGCTGAGTAAGGTTTCTTGAGGTTTTTGATTCATGATGGAATAGTAAACCATTCTCATCTAAGTAGTGGTTACCCTCTAATGCCAACACTTTCCTTGCTTCTTTTAAGTCTTCGGGTAGCTCTTTATTGGCTAGATATGATACTAAATCAGCGTAATAGGGATCGTTACGTTGTTCTTTTACAACCTGGTCAATTGGTCTACCCGGTACTGTCAATGTTGCAACTGTGTCGTAACTCCGTCGGGATAGTCCGTCAGCATTACCATTCATCTTTCCTGGTCTATATTCAATTTCAAAGTCATTACTTTGTAACATTAAGCTCCACCTTGCAAGGCGACCGGTTGGGTCTTTGATCGACATTAATTTAATGCCACTTTAATGAATTATGATCGGTTACAATTTTAAAACTTTGTCCATATATGTACGGCCTACATTTCTGTATTGCAACGACGATGGCCAGCGCTTCTCGTTCAGTTGTGGAATATTTAATTTCTGTGTTCGTAAAACTACGCCCACCATACAGAATAACTTTTTCGGAATCCCCTTGACATTGCGCTAGAACATACCCTAATGCCTCGCCACTTTCGTCTGAATATATAATAAAAGGTCTCTTGAAGTCGGGAAAAACCAAAATGCGCGTCGTTGTCAGGGCTTCCTTGAGCTGATCAAAACTCTTTTGCTGATCAATCTGCCATTTGAAACTAGTGTCCTTTTTTAACAAGTTATTCAACGGCAAAACAATACCTGAGAATCTTTTAATAAATCTTCGATAATAGCTACATAAGCCAATAAACGCTCGAACATCTTTTATATTTTTAGGTATTGGATAATCCTTTACTGCTTTGATATTTTCAGGGTCTGGTTTAATACCATCTGCATTAATATAATGTCCTAAGAATTTCACTTCAGTTGTGCAAAAAGTGCATTTCAGTAGGTTTAATTTTAAACCAGCTTGTCTAACGGCTTCATTTATCATCAGTATATGTTTGAGGTGCTCTTTATACGTTTTTGAATATGTCAAGATATCGTCTAAATAAAGAATGCAATGTTTGTATAAATGGTCACGGAGTATGTAATTCATCATGCGTTTAAATATTGATAGTGCATTCGACAGACCAAAGGGGAGAACTTTAAACTGATACAATCCTTTATGCAATGTAAATGCGGTTTTCTCTTTAGATTCGTCGTCGAGCCGCACCTGATAATATCCGCTAAGAAGATCTAGTGAAGAAAAATATATCGCCCTGTGTAGCATGTTGAGACTTTCATCTATTCGTGGGAGTGGATAGATATCCTTTTTTGTTACGTTGTTTAGTTTCCTATAATCAATACACACCCTGAAATTCCCATCTTTCTTTGGTACCATTACTACCAGACTAGACCAAGGGCTGACACTTGGTTCAATGATATCATTTGCTAGCATCTCCTCAACGTGCTTGTCCAGTGATTTTCTCTGAGCTTCCGCAAGACGGTAAGGTCTTTGTCTTTTCGGCTGAGCATTGCCCGTGTCAATACAGTGCTGTATTACATCAGTTTGCCCAATGTCGTGCAAACCTTGACCAAAAACATCTTGGTTATTCTTTAGTAAGGTCAACAGCTGGAGGCGTTCTTCTTGATTCAACGCAGCGGTGTTAGTCTTTGATTCCAACAAGTCTATCAAACCGTCCGGCAACCCAGCGTTATACTCTTCCGAGATTTTGGTAGGTAATGAAATTACAACCCCAATTACTTTATTTTTACCAATAGTTACATAATCCGATGAGGGGTTAACAACATGCAGCTTGACTTGATTAGATACACCATGGGTTATGGTGGGAAAAACATGGACATTTCGATCCTTGAACAGATTTGTCTCTGGTATAAATAAACAGTCACCTTTAGTTTTTAAAGCGTGTGCTATGGTGAGGATGGTTTCACACTTAGGAACAGTCTTTATTTCCTTTGTTACGCATATCGGAGTTATAGAAAGGTCTACGGGATTTGAATTAGGTATGGTGTTGTTGAATCTATTTTGATAGTCTATGCTGACTGCAGGATATGGGCGGCGGTCGCTGAGTATCGGCTGAAACTCTTTAGCTTCATCCGGTGTACGTGGCGCATCGGACTTTGGCGTCAGATTTTCTCTTTGTACTTTACACTCAAACTGGGCATTCGTGGGTTGGTTAATAGGCGGATTTTCTTTTAGCAACAGTTCAGGCGCAGGCAACCACTTGACATCAAACTTATCAATTTGCGGTATACGGCGGATCGGTGTATCATCCACAATTATTCCAGCGGAGAATTTGTTGTCGATGGGTTTGCTTATCATTTCTATATCAAACATTCCCTCGAAGGTAACTCGATGATTCCCGCAGTCCAATTTGACATTAAACTGGCTCATGACGTTGTAGCCTATAATTACTGGATGAGTCAAATTTTTAGCGATAAGCATTTCATGCTCAAATATATATCCTCCAATATTAATGGGGCACACGGTTTTTCCAAGGACATGAAGTGGCGCTCCATTTGCGGTTCTTAGGGTACCATAGTAGGGAAGTGGTCTGTTAACTTGATTCCTAAAATTTTCGAAGATGGTTTCGTCTAATACACTGCACCTAGCACCTGTGTCCTTAAGAATAAGCACTTTAGTCTTGTATACCTTCCCCCAGATTTCAGAACCAGGTTCCTCTTCCGGATCCGATTCGAGTGTATTAGTGTGTCGATGGGGAATTCGGCTATCCAAATGTGGACTGTTCCTTGGTTCATTGTGTCGGGATTGTCTATTTGGATAAGAATTATTACGGAATGAAACCGGGTTTTGTGTGTCATGGTTCCAGTGGTGCAGTTGCGGCGATGCATGTTGATAGTAATTTCTCCCTGACAATGGGGCGATTTTTTCGGAACACGACCTTTGGGTGTGTCCCACTTTCAGGCTTTGGTTGAATATCACCTGACCGTCACTGGTACGGAGATTACGTCCGTTTGGCCGAAATCTTTCATCTTGGCTAGGACGGTTGTTGTTCCGCCTTAATGAGGCAATTTCCGTCTGTAATTCACCAATCCGCTGATTTAGGATAGGATGCTCTCGGTAGGTGGCAGCTGCAATATGTTGAGGGGAATTTAGTAGGGTATCTAACTTGGCTTCCAGACGAGTTATAGTCGAGTCTGATCCAACGGTGTCATGTAGTTTTGAGAAAGCTACTGCAGCCTGATAATACACCGGTTGCTTGAGTTTTAGAGCATTCCTTAAATGTGGCTTCAGTCCCTTGATAAAAAAATTCAGCTTAGTCTCATCATCAACCCTAAGCTGCTGACTTAATTTATCTAGCGTGGTAATATAGGAAGCAAGATCAGCATCTTGTAATAGGCCGAATAACTCCATCTTACGGTTCCATGCAATGTTTGCATTATTATAATACTGACGAAAATGTTCTTGAATTTGATTAAAATTGTTCCTAATGTGCGCGGAAAGGGTTTCGTAATAAACCAACGCACTACCTTCCAAGTATAACGGGAACGCAAGTAGTTTTCTCATCTCGGTCCATTGGTTATGTTGGGCAATGCGTCCAAAACTGGCTAACCACTCGGTAACATCTTCTGTTTCTGTACCTTTAAATACTTTTGGATGTATTTTTTGAGTAGGCTTCAATGTTAGTCTTTCTAATATTTGCTCAAGCGACATATTGTTCTTCTCTTCAGGGGAACGGCTATTCTGTGTTTTAAACGGATTGGAATTGGATAGCTCTAAGGAATAGGCGGAGTCGGAGTCGGAGTTGTTAAGCGAGGTATAAGAATTATTGCCAGCAATCAAACGATGTGTTGGTTGAACAAACGGACATATTTTTCCCGAGCGTAAACGGTTCATATATATATACAGCAAAGTTATTACACTTTAAAATATTATCTTCGTTTGAATGCAAGTAAAACAAATAATAAAATAAACAAACGTTAATGTTTTCTTACACAGTTTTTAATTGATCGACGCGAGCAGAGATGGAATCCACTCGTAT